GAACAAGCTAGGTTTATACTTCAGCATGTGTGCCTGACTTTGGGCGAATCCACAGTTGTGGCAGAAGGACACTGGAGAGAGTAGTGAACTATTTGTCCAGGTGCCTTTTCTAACACTCAGAGACTGCATGGTATATACAAGCTAAGCAAGCACTTGGAGGAATTCAAATTTGAATCAGTATTTAGAAATAGTCTTAACTACTTAAGTGTTAGGTGGGGTCTGGGGCTGCTTTTTTCTTTAAAAACCTGTGGATAATATTTGCAGGTTTAGGTTTCATTCATCATTTTTAAGTAATGTCAGAACAGTGCTAGTAGTAGTAGATCTCATCTCTGCTTTCTCTCTAGTCACCTGAGGAAGCCATAAGCCACTCAAAGAGTGGCTTAGCAAGACAAGATACCTGGCACAGAGATTGTTAACTGCATTTGCTGTTTACTTAAGGGGCTTGCATCTGTGATGACAGAATAAAGAAGCTGATTAGATGAATCAATCAGAAGTTCTTTATGTATTTATCTTAATTTACTGTATCATACTGGGGCAGCTATGTCATCCAAGGAATATCAGCACCTGGAGGCAGTTCAGAAAGGTTTTGACTCAAGATGGATTTTTTCAGTGTTGGTTGGTACCAGAACCAGAGGATAGGTGTTATGTGCTCACACCATCATAAAATCAGACATCACTGCTAGTTATATTGGCAAATCATTATAGAAGTAACGGTGAATTCAAAGTGTGCACTTGAAAATGGCATACTGAAATATAAACCAGAAAGTTGTGCAGTGCTATGCACACTTGAAACTTGTGCAGTTCTATGCAAACAAAGCTACCATGGTGTTATTTTACTGTTTGAAGTTTTGATTTTTGCTTGTTTCAGCATCTGTTCTTTTGGATTAAGATCCTTATATAACATGTAAATAACGTTATGGGTTGAGTGACATAATCAGATAAACATTTAAACCAGCACAGTTTGGTCTATACTTGATCATATTCAGTGGTCATCTTGTCAGTCCTTGGTTAATGGCTGGACTTGATGATCTTTAAAGGTCTTTTCCAATCTAGTTGATCCTATGATTCTGTGTGCTTAGGATTGTTTACATTCTGCAAAAATAAATGTGTGGATTCATCACTTACTTATTTACAAGAGCCTAAAGATATAAATAATACAGTAGAAGATCAAGCATTGAAACACAGTTTTACACCTGAGAGGTGGTTTCTATGTTAAATCCCAATATTCAAATGCAGTGTCTAGTGAAGGAGAGAAAACTCACTTTCTCCACTAGATGGTGTCAGTCAATTACAAAGCCCTTTCGTTTCTCTTAGGGAATCTGAATTAAGCATGAACTACAGAAATTGTTTACTATTGAAATAATTTTGGTGAAGGACCTGCTTTTCTCTCTCACCTCTCCAAAAAGGTGTTGTTACACAATGACATTTTTATCCTTACTTACAGGAATCAACAATATGAATATGTAGCGATATGCTAATAAAAATAGGCCATGCTATGAAATTGCAGCCCTTCACTAAAAAAGCAGTTTATCTTTGCGACATAGAAGAATTTTAACTATTGAAACCTTTCATTCACAAATCTTCAGGTTTGGGGTTTTCTTTCTGTGCTTCCCATTCAGCAGTATACCTGCTAAAGGGCAATAAATGCTATATGGGATCATTCTAATATTGTCCTTCTTATTCAGTCAAATAAGGATGTAGTTTTGTATTCTCACAGCTTGTTAGTCATCTGCTTTCTTCGAAGAGCAGTTCTTTTTTTAATCAGCTTTTATGCTTTACATACTTATTTTGAAGTGATCTGGTTGTGATTTTCACATGTTTTGTAATCTCATTTTCCTTTCCCTGACCCAGTTTCAGTAAGTATTACAAACCTTTATCCTGGTTGTGAGAATGTCAGTGTGAGAAGCCGTAGTATGATGTTTGAGCCAGGCCTGACCAAAGGAGTATTAGAAGCTTTTGTTTCACCTGCTCATCACTCTCATTTCTCTGCTGATGACCAGTCCACCAAGGCCATTGACATTCAGAATGCCTATCTGCATGGTAAGCAAAGCCCTGGGATGGCGTGCCTTAATGATGTGGGACAGTTTAATGCCATGTTGCTTGTTTTTAAAAATAAAACTGAGAAGAAAAAAAAAATCTGAGTTGGTATTGTAGTGACTGTGGTTGAAAATCCAACAGTGGTGGGGTTTGGTCTGTTTAAGCAAAAGGTAAATCTGCATAGAGTTCTGTATCTGTAATACACATGCTAATCACTTGTGTCAGATGCTTGTAGTATCACATAGAAATGTTTTTAAGGTGAATAAGTGGGGCAGGAGGAAGGAATAAAGATTTCATATAATAGTAGTGGGTTAGCAAACAAGCTGCTAGTGTAAAGGCTCCTTCACCAATACTATATGTCCTTTGGGGGTTTTATTGGCTTTAATCTGGTCCTAGAGACCCAAGTGTCCTCAACGTGTAAATAGTTCCCAGCTGTATGAAGGACCTACCATTCTTACCCCATGACAGGGCTAGAGCATGTTTGGTGAGCCCTGGAGCTCACCAAACATGGTGAGTGGAGCTTCTGACTTCATGGTTTTTTGAAAGGAAAAGTTCAAACAAGTTAGCAGTCAGAGGGGGCCAGTCAGAGAAGTTGTCATAACTACATGTATGGCTTTGACTGTGAAGACTATACAAACAGTGCATATACACCACCACCTATACTAATTGTTATATAGGGGGTAAGATTTCTCCAATAGGATCTCTTCTTCATAACAAAAATGTTCTGATGCCTTAACAGCTGCAATTTTGAGACTGGATTAGGATTAATCAAGATTTTTGGTTTGGAGAGAGAAACCTATTTATGGATGCAGTATAAGCACACTAACACATGCAGTGACAAAATGGTCATCCTAAATGCTGAAGAGTTTGCCGTGCAGCTAAAGCTTGTTCTTTGTCCAGGCTAATTTCCTCTTTCAGTGTTCTTTGAAATCAAGTCAAGTTCTGTAGTGAAACGGAGTTATGCAACAGATTGTCAGACAGGGTTTCTTTTCTTTCTCTGTGCTGTCTTGATACGGAATGAATACACATGGGTGAACCCTGAATAGCTGTACTCTTAACAGCAGGTTTGAGGTTTCTGGCTTCTTCTAGAAGTTTGAAGTTCATCTTAATCTGCATTTTATTTAAATAGAGGTAGTACAAGTGCAGCAGACTTGACCCTAATCTGAGGGTGCATCTAGGAAGTGCTATACACCGCAACGCACTAATACTTTTCTCACCTGAAGCTAAAGGAGATGGCAACAGGAAGTATGATTCTGTTGGGCATCTTAACATGGTGGTTCTTAAATCCTGAGTTAATAGTGTGATGTAAATAGTAGTGCAATTCTGTAAAGCAGGGGCTTCTTTGAGAATGTCCTTCAGTTGTTTTGAATACCAGCAGTGGCATGTTAAGAACTAAAATTAATTGAAATGCTGAGATTTTGGGGTGAGCAGGAAGGGAAGCCATTACTCTTGTTTTTTAAGTGAATTACAAGGCAAAGGCAAATTTAATGTGTAAGGCTGCATGCAGTTAACACACAGGTGTTTCCATGTGGCATCCAGCTGACTGTCCTAGAGAAGTGAATGTGAGAGAGGAACAGATTGTGAGCACCAAACTTCTCAGCCTCTGAAACTGGCTGAAACCCCTTCCCTTTGTTCATGATTGCATTTGCAGTCGTTTTTCTCATATGCGTAGGGTTTATCTTCCTGAAAGTTTAAATCAGATTAACTCTCGTGTTTGTCTTTCCGTGGCTGAAAGATGCTTTGTGTTTAGTGATAAAGTGTGATCTTTTCATGTTTGTCTGTTTTTCAGGAGTTGGTGATTTCAGCATCTGGGAGTTTTCTGGGAATCCTGTGTACTTCTGCTGTTACGATTATTTTGCTGCAAATGATTCCACAGCAATTCACGTAGTGCTTTTTAGTCTCGAGGAGCCTTATGAAATCCAGTTAAACCAAGTGACCTTTTGGCTCAGTTTACTGAAATCATTAGTCCCAGTTGAGGAGCCAATAGGTATGCTATTACTTCTGCCTGTTACCTAAATATTAGGGGACTGTAGAATAAAGCTTCTTGTGGTTCTCTGCAACTTTGTACATCATCTGTGTTGAGCACTGTTATGTCATCCACATGTATTCAAACTTCACACAAGGTTTCTTAGAGAAAGGCAATGTTATCTGTGGAACACACCTGGAGAGTTGTACACACCACTTAGTCCAACTATAAATGATCATGAGGTGTGGTGCAACCTCCTGCAGCACTGGGATTTACATCTATAAATGACAGATGAAGTTTGATGTTAAATAAGCTGCATGGAAAAGTGTTCCAAAGGGTTGGAACCATTTAAAACAAGTTTTAGACATATTGCTTAAATTCCACTTAAATATAGCCCAAATTAACAGTGTCTCCATCTTAAATTAATCTTGCCAGTGAGAACAGGACAGAAAACAGTGGAGTGGCATTATCTCTCAGTACATGCAACTTTAACATGTTTAACTAGAGTTGTATTTGGACTTCAAATATGCTAACCTTTTGGTGTATCAGCATGTACAGAAATTGGTATTTCTTGTAAATTTCACTTCATATATTCTCAGATTTTACACAGGTTTTGATTAAGTTTACTTGGTTTACATATGAGCTTTCTAACAAATAAAGTTACTCAGCATGCAAACGGATTTTTTTTTTTAATTCTTAAAAGGTCTGTAAGTCTGAGTGTATATACACCATATAACTTGTTTGTGCTTGCAGCTGAGCATTGGTCTGCAGATCGTGGCAGTTTCATGGATGAACCAAGCTCTAACATGCGTCTTGGTTCTATGAACCAAAATATTATTCCAGCCACTGGATCTAACTTAGCACTCACAAGCATCTATAATGCTGCTAGGAACTCAATAGACAAGCATGTCAAGTACTTTCATAGTGCAAAGACTATTTCTTCTCTTTCTTTGTGTTCTGCTCAATTCTGTATACATTATGTCAAACAGATAATGATAAACTCAGGCAGACCTTCAGTTTTCAGTTCAGGCATCTGCATTTTGCATTTTAGATCAAGTGACAGTAGTCACGGAGGTTAAAAATATGAGCATTTGAATCTACCCAACATGAAATTACTTCTGGAAGTAAAAGCTCAGAAATACGCAAAAAAAGTATCAAAATTGAAAACACAGCGAGTTTGCAATTGCAGAAGGCTTTTAATGGCTCCTCAGTCTAGGGAGGAAACACAGTTCTTGGTTTGACTGTGTTAGAATTTAGTTGTTTCTTCTTGCTGAGCTGATTATCAGCATTATTTAAATACTTTGCTTAAATCAGTATTTATAATGGTCAGCTCAGTTTGGGTACCCGTGCATTTTAGTACTATTACAAGTCTTTGTAAATAATCTGTACTAACTGATGTTAGCAGAAAACTTAAAACTTTTGAAATTACTTTCCAATTATTTTGCCTAAGTCCTTCAGCTGCCAAAAAAAAAAATATATTTACTAGTATAAAATACTTAACCTTGAAATTACTATGCAGAGATTTGGGAAAATGTGACTGTTCATGAATGAATCAAGATCCTGTAGCCCTTGGCGGAAAATCGATTAGTGATGTAAGCATATTTCTCCCATGGAATGTTTTTTCAGATTAAAAAAGCAGAATTGGATGTACTGTTGTTTTTAAAAATAGTCTAAGAATGCCTCCTCCTTTCTGCAAGATTAGTTTGAGAAAAGATTGAAAACTCTTGTGTTCCATTCTGTCACCTCATTCATGCCATTTGTATCTTTCTTTCTTTCTTATTCTTTTTCATGGTTTCTGACAGGCTTTCCTACTGAACTCTCACCTAAGTGAGAGGTCATTGTTTGTGTAAGTACTGCAAAATAGCATTCATACTAATGTATGAATGTTGTAGATCTTTTGTGTTCTACTTACAGTTCTCTACTATGCAGCTGTAGTATTAAGCACCATTCAAAGTTTGAGAGAAACCCTTTCAAGAAGCTGTTACGTTTACTTATTTTCCTCACACTGTCATAGTTTTTAGTTAGTAGATATGTCATTAGTGTTATTTATTAATGTTTTTGTTAAAACAATAAAGTCAGGTAGTATCAATTTATCTGATGTTATTCAAAGAGTCTAGCTATTCAAATTGGACATTATATAGAAAATCTTATAGGCAAATAAAAGCCAAAACACATCAGTAATGTACCTACAGTGTGGTTATGCTTAGGGTTGGTAAATCCACTGCAAAAGTGATTGATATGAAAAATGTAAATTGTATTGCTACTTTCCCGGCTTAGTAAGGCAGCCATCTCCATAGGCTTGTCTCGTAGTGAGGGAGTGCTCTTGTTTCTCTTCCAGCATTCGGTGGAAAGCTGAAAAGTCCCCTGCGTGTTGTTCTGGTCGCCACACATGCTGACATAGTGAATCTTCCTCGGCCTGCTGGGGGAGAGTTTTGGTATGACAAAGACATGTCATTGTTGAAAGAAATCAGGAACAGGTAAGTGAGGAGTGTGTTTATGCACAGTACTTAAACATACCAGGTGGAAAGAAAGAAAAATTACTAAAATGGATAAGAATATGTAAAATATTTTTATGTGGCTTAAGCTTTATGATTCGATGTTTTGAGTATGTTCAGGAAGCTTATGTTGTGCAAAAATTGAGTCATTTACCGGTAATACAGTGAGTGAGCTGCCTTAAGTAAACTAAAATGAGCCAACTGGTGGAAAAATGAGTTGAGGCTTAAGAAGTCTCACCCTGTAAACACTGGGATACATCTGAAGAGCCATATCAGACATCTGCCTAACACTTGGTAATCAGGTTTTGCACCAGTCTCAGAAAAGTGGGCAGTTCTCAGCTACGAACTCTGAGTGAAAAACAGGAAGCTTTACAGGAGAGCCACCTTTTGCTCTGAATTGATTTAGGATGGGCAGGAAAAAAACTTAAACCTGGAGGTACTCCCTACGCAGTTTGTGAAGAGCTGGGCATTGTGGAGTCACACAGGTGACAAGGTAATCCAAGAGTTACCTAGAAGTTAGGGAAACTTTTAGCATTCTTCAGCAAATACTTGTAGAGCATTCTGGTTGTAGATGGAAAAGGGAAATTTTTCATGAACATACTATTGTATAAAATAACAATAATTCGTGTTCACAGTGAGCAGGCAAGTGGGTAACACATGATATAAGCAACCATGCATACCTGTGAGCATAGACATCTGTCTGGACTGTGCAAGAAACAGATGTGCAAATTCCAGCACAATAGTGGCAGGGCGGTGTCTTAATCAGTTGAAATAAACCAACAGAAAATACCCGCATAATCATTAGGTGTTGGAATCCTTTTAAAATGCAGATAATCCAGAGCTAGGAAAACAAATATGTGCTGTTGAAAAACCAGAAGGAACTGAAGAAGGGAGCTGGTGTCAGTAGCAATGACAACTGAACTATTCAAAGTGACAAAAAAGAAAACAATAAATACAAAGACCTTAAAAAGAATTAATTCCTGCTACCCCTCCTCTAGTAAAATGTTTGAGTTTCTAATTTCAAGTCTTGTGATGCAGTTGTTAGTTTCTTATGCATGTTCAGCCTCCTTCTTTAGGAAATACAATTTTTTCTCAATATCTTCATTTATTTTCAAGAAAATTAGAGAGCAGTGATACTCTCTGTGCGTATAAAATAGCTTAGCATAATCAGTACTTAAACTTTTTCATCATTCCTTAGAAGAAAAATAACTGTGTAATTCAAGGCTGAAATACAACTGAATTAAGAAATAACTGGATTTGGGACTAAGTAAATAATTGCTTGCTTTTCCTCTTTCAGATTTGGAAATGATCTTCAAATTTCAGAAAAGTTATTTGTGTTGGATGCTGGAGCATCTGGGTCTAAAGATATGAAGCTTCTCCGAAATCACTTGCAAGAAATAAGAAGCCAGATAATTTCTGTAAGTAATGTCTAATGGTCTGGGTTGGACCAGCCAAAATACAAGAGTCTTGTGTAATAATTTACTGTGAATTCAGAACTTGGATTATGTAACTTAAGTGAGTGCTGTTCAAATTTTTTAACAGCGTGCGTGACAGACATGGTGATAAAGAAACTCCTGACAGCAAAGATTCAGTCAGCATTTTCAAAATTGTATGTGTTTTGTTCCGGTCATCAAAATGATCTCTCTTAAAAGGAAACAATTCAAGATTTTCAGTTCATAGTTATATTTTAATATTGTTAATAGACAGTGATTGATTATAACTGATAGAAAGATTATTCCCAACATAGATGGGAATATAGATGAATATTAATTAACTTTTTCCTTTGCTTTTTTACTGGAAAATGCGTGCTTGGAGTTGTATATATGTGTCTAAGTGTATGTAAATGAGACTGTAGGTAAACTAGCCATGGCTTGATGTTATCACCAGGAATCCACAGAGACTTCCACAAGGACAGTGACCAAGTCAAGTGCTAAATGGTGTTAAATTTCTTCATACCACACTTGTGTGACACACTAAGACTTTCTGTAGCTACTTCTGGTAGGTTAGGAGTTTTTTAAGATGTATGAAAAGTGAACATATTAGTTCATTCTGTAGATGAAGGAAGATGTTTGGGTTCATACCAGATTCAGTCTATTTCACATGCCCAATGGTCTTTTGATTTAATAAGCTTTTCTTCTCTGACAAAACTTTACCATAGCCATGCTCACTAGCTTGAAATCTGGAGGGCTTTGCTGCAGAAGTGCATGCTGTGGCTTGGGACTGTAATGCATCAGTGAGGTCCAAGACAATCAATAAATAAAAGTAGCATCTTCTGAACTGGTACCCTGCTGTCTCCCCTATTGAAGTAAATTGGTCCTGTACAGATACTGATGAGTACAGATTTTAATTAAATGTTGACAGTTTCTGAAATAAAGATTATCTTCTAGACCATGAATTGGTCATTTGACATTTGACAAGGCAGGACTATATAAACCAAGCTTTATTCCACATGTCAGGATTCCCTTTGTAATCATGTTTAAACATTTTGTTAATTTAATTGAAAAACACTTTATTAAGAAAAGATAGATCTTACGGCAGGCGAATGCCAGGTGGAAGAGTAAGGGTCCATCACAGGGGGAATTCTTTAGACATGAGTATACGTCATGAATATATTAGACCTTGTAATCTCCATTAAAACATAAAACCAAAAACAACAGCAGCAAAACCCCTCAACAACAGTACTGTCATTCTCAGCACAGCAGGATTACAAACTGATGTTTTCTGTGTTTTTGTAAGACTTGCCCACCTATGACTCATCTGTGCGAAAAAATAATCTCCACACTGCCTTCATGGAGAAAAATGAATGGACCTAACCAGCTGATGTCGTTGCAGCAGTTTGTATACGACGTACAGGAACATCTTAACCCCCTAGCAAGTGAAGATGACCTACGGCATATTGCACAGCAGTTGCATAGCATAGGAGAAGTAAGTGTTTTTATCTAAATTGCAACTCTTTATTACCAAGGTACTGCTCTGGTAGAATTTACTTCATGAGATTGAAGCAAATGTCTGTAGTTTGGAAGTTGTAGTTGTAGTTTGTGTTGTGGTTTGCAGGTTTTTTTTCTCCTCCCTCTTAAGACATCATGAAAAGTAGACTGGTTAATAATGCTTTTTTGTTATCATTATTGTCCTGTGGCTCCTATTTCATTCAACAGTATTTCCTTGAGACAGGAAGAATTACAGTTTATTGCTGTAGTTGTAAGAATATAAAATACCCAGAAAGTGTAAGTAGGCTTTCATCTTTAATGAGGTAGTGCCTAATGTGTTAACTGCATATGAGAAATTTGTGTGTCCATTAGAAACTGAATCATAGCATAACACCTTTGCATAAATAGCTTGCAGAGCATGGCTAGGCTTTACAGCTGTTGGATTCTAAAGGCTTCATTATTAGTGAAAATCAAGTACAAGATCTGCTCTTTGTTCTGAATACTTGAAAGGAAATAAAATGCACTACCCGCTTTTCTGTTGTCAGCAGTGTTAACAAAATGACTGGTCAGTAATTTAGGGAGGAGAGAATATGGGGTATCATCTTGTACTTCACAAGACGTAAATAGTAACTTTCATATTTATGAACAGATTAACATTATGCAGAGTGAAACTGTCCAAGATGTTGTGCTTCTGGATCCTCGCTGGCTCTGTTCAAATGTCCTTGGAAAAATTCTGTCAGTGGAGAACCCAAAAGCCCTCCATCACTATAGAGGTCGTTACACTCTAGAGGATATCCAGCGTCTGGTGACAGACAGTGATGTGGAAGAACTGATACAGATTTTGGATGCCATGGATATTTGTGCAAGGGACCTTAGCAGTGGAGCAATGGTGGATATTCCTGCTCTCATAAAGACTGACAATCTCCACAGGTCTTGGACAGATGAGGAGGATGAGGTGCTGATTTATGGTGGTGTTAGAATCGTTCCTGTGGAACACCTTACCCCATTTCCTTGTGGAATTTTTCATAAAGTTCAGGTGAATCTCTGCAGGTGGGTTCATCAGCAAAGCACAGAGGGAGATGCAGATATACGTCTGTGGGTAAACGGATCAAAGATTATGAATCGTGGAGCTGAGCTTTTAGTGCTGCTGGTCAACCACGGTCAGGGTATAGAGGTTCAAGTTAGAGGACTGGAAACAGAGAAGATCAAGTGCTGTTTACTTCTGGATTCTGTATGCAGCACCATTGATAATTTAATGGCCACAACTTTACCAGGCCTTCTGACTGGGAAATACTACCTTAGTCCTCAGCAGCTGAGGGAACATCATGAACCAGTAATGGTCTACCAGCCTAGAGACTTTTTCCGTGCACAGAGTCAAAAAGAGACATCACTAACTAACACTATGGGGGGATATAAAGAGAGCTTTAGCAGTATACTGTGTTTTGGGTGTCTTGATGTTTACTCCCAGGGAAGTTTAGGAATGGATATTCATGTTTCTGATCTGAATCTACTTACCAGGAGAAAACTAAGTCGACTTTTGGATCCACCTGATCCTATGGGGAAAGATTGGTGCCTTCTGGCCATGAACCTGGGCCTCCCAGATCTTGTTGCAAAGTACAATACAAATAATGGAACACAAAATGACTTTATCTCAAGCCCAGTCCATGCTCTTCTGCAGGAGTGGAGTAACGCTCCTGAGAGCACTGTAGGTATTCTAATGTCTAAGCTGAGGGAATTAGGTCGCAGAGATGCAGCAGATTTTTTACTGAAGGCATCTTCTGTATTCAAAATAAATTTAGATGCTAATGGTCCAGAAGCTTATGCTTCTAGTTGCAACAGTGGCACTTCTTATAACTCAATTAGCTCTGTAGTGTCACGGTAAGAGCAGGTGTTTTGCATGGACATACTCTCAAACTGCAGAAAGGATAAAAGATACAGTACAAAAGTTTCTGTGCATTTAAATTTATGAGGTTTTACATTAAAGGATCTTTATCCTTCTCTAGCACCACCTTTTGTGCATAAACTTTCTACTTCTAACTGTGAATTGTTGCTCTTTATCTATTAAAAAGGCTGGTGTACTTCTGGTGTTTCAAAATTATTCCTGATACATAATGTGCTGCTTAATACTGCCATCTTAACTGGGAAGTTTTCACTTTTATGTACGGCAAATGTTTTATAAAATACTTCGATTCTCCCCATAACAAGTAGGCGGAGAGGAATAGCACATATTACCTGAAATGTGTATTTCTTACACACTCCCCCTTTTTTTTTCTTTTTTTTTTTTTTTTTTTTATTTTCATCCTGTCCTCTGCTTAACATTTTCTTACATTTGTAAGGAGAAATCCACCATTTGTGGTCAATCTGAACTTTAAACCATTTTATTGTTTATAGCTGATAAAGTGAGTGCCTTTTGCAGAAGGGAGGGTGCAGTTGATTTGAATGACCCTGCTGGAGTTACAAGAACATGCTACCTCTGTTTCACTTAAATCGTCTGCATGCTTATCATTGCAAGTGGTGCTTGCCTTTTAATTTTTCCTGCACTTCTAAGACATTGGTGATAACTCACGCAGAGCATTCTTGTGCCAGTACTATGGGTATAGACATGTGATACCTAATCAACTTCAATTACAGTCAAATCGTAATGTGAAAATCTTTTAAACTTGCCAATTACCACGCTTCATTATTTCCGTGCACCTCAGGTAAAAGTTTGCTTTTCATTGTAGAGTTCAAAAAACACAAGTGTTGGTTACTGCGGAAAAATATTGTAGAGCTGTCAGTCGTAATTTGTGTATAACAAAGGTTTTCTACTATTAGATCCTGCATTACTTTACTTCCTGTACTTGAAAACTTTGATGGGGATAAAAAAAAAAAGGAAGCAAGGTTTCTTGCAGTGATAACTTTAAAATTGATATGAGGGAATATGACCCATTTTCTGTTTTAAAAAGCATGTAATTTAATGGTGCGATGTGTGTTTGTTTATATATATTGTATGTACATACATTAATACTATTTTTTCCTTAATCTTACAATGTAGTAAAATTTTAAAGGATTTTTCTACAAATAAACTGTTGCTTGTTGCATCCGTGTCATTCATATTCTGTATTTGAAAGGGCTGAAACTTACCTTTTCCATAGAGTCACAGTCCTTGGAGAGGCAGTGCCTGGCTTCTGAAGTTCTGGGAACCCTCTGTTTCACTTCAGGATAATTTCTTAGAATGCAGGAGGGATATTCATTCATTTATTTACGGCAGAGGTGGTCCCTCTGCAGTAGAGGGATTTGCATTCTCTTTGACAAATGGTAAGCCAAAGCACTTTGCTACATAGCTTCCCCTTTGTGTTTTTCCACAATAGAAACCAAAACAGCAGACATGAGTCTGTCATCAGGAAGTTTCCAGATTATGCTGTGTTGCAAAGGGGGTGAATGTTGCGTTGGAGCCTGTGCTGCGGTATTAGTCCTTTATATTAAGGATGCCCTCATGATGGGGGTTGAAACTAGATATTCTTAAGGTCCTTTCCAACCTGATCTGAAGGCTCTTTCCAACCCTAACCATTCTATGGCACGAGTGCTACAGCTGCTTATTTGAACTCTCAGCATCACTCAGTGGTAGCTGCACACTCTCAGTGCAGCACTTTACACAGGCAGCTTTGCACAATACCTCCTCCCTGCATATGCTGCAAAGGAGTTAAATGGCCTTTTCTTAAAATGCTAGTTGTTATTTCTCACTGCCTTCTGTCCGTATTTTCCCTTGTCTTATTAAATCCTTCCCCAGGCATCACTGGGCTCCTTTGTTAAACATTTTTTTAAGTGTTAGTCCTCAATGAGCAATGTGATTAATACCAGTGCTAACCCGAGATGTCTGTGCTATGATATTCTGCCTCTGATGAACAGAGTTCAGTGTCTCCCACCACTGCCCGAAGTTGCTCAGTGATGAGCCCAGCTTTCCACAGCCTGTATTTGCCTACATCATGGCTACCACCATTCCTCACCTTCCCGATGTGAACACATTCAGCACTTCTGTTCGATTCCGATATGTGGAGGGGCCTTTCTTATAAGACTTTATGGTTTTCTTGCTGATTTCTTTAGGTCTGTTCCTCAGGCATCAAACTTGGAGTTACCTTCACTGAGTCCATGTGACTGCAGGATAGTGGGACTTGCCATCACAAGCCTTTGAGAGCAGAGACTACTCTGAGATGCTTTTCTAATGCAGGGCTGTCAGTGGTGTCTGTTAATTTGGGATTTAATTTACCACGGTACTGCTTGTGGTAGAGTGACAAGATTTTTAGATACCAGGTAGCTCGTACCCAGCCTGCCTGCCCTGTTGCTTTGTGCATGGTCAACTGACCAACACTGATGCAATAGTCTTTTGCCCTTTTTCTTTTTCCTCCCAACAGCATGTTCCTGACAACTCTCTGCTTCCATTTACTGTAAAATACAGCCCTGGGAGTATAAATTACTTAGCAGATGCTATGATGGACACAGCCTATTGCATCATTTACAGTTTTCATGGTAATAGGTTCAGGAAAGTGAATCACAGTCATAGGATAGCTTTGGATTGCTTTCCTACAAGTCATGTGCCACTGACAAAAAAAATTGTTGTCCTAAATGACAAAAAAAAGGTTAGCAGAGTGATACAAGTGGGCATCCCTTCAGCTGCTTCACTTTCATTGATTGCCTGGTTTGTTTTGTGAATGCCACTAGGAGCAGAGCTTCATTCCACAATTTTTGGAACTGTGTTTAAAATGCTCTGAGCCTGCTTTACTTCAGAAATGGAGGGAGTGCAGGTCTTTGCAAGATCAAAGCACTTTAGCCATAAATGTACAGTACATACAGTTTGTGCAAGGAACATGCTGAGTTCAGTTCCTGACAGTGAAATAGGTGAGGCTGGATACTATTAGGAGGCTCTCTTCCTTATAATTCTGTGTCTCAGCACAGAGGTTCTGAAATACAATTTTGAGGATAAAGCAGATTAGCCCAAACATTTCATTTTGGCTTCAAAATCCATAATGCAGACAAACTGTCAAGCTTGCAACACAGTTGCTCAAGGCCAAGATGCATTACAGACGGTCTTCCTATTTAGAGATGTATGTTACTGACATCTGGACTCAGAATAACTCTGAAGAAGGTGGTGATGGGGAGGAAGCAAACATTTTGGAGCAAAACATTTTTCCAAGTTGTGTCTTTCCTCTCTGGTGTGCAGCAGCATGCATAGGTTAGGAAAGTGTTTCCTATTGCTGTTTGTATTGGGGTTTACTGGGTTTTACTGTCTGTGGGAGTTCTGCTGCTGACCTGAATGGTAAGTTTGGAAAGCTACAAGAGATCAGTGGCTACATGCAAATGATTTTGAGGGTGGGACAAGAAGAGCATCCGGAGGTGACCTTGGTTGGAGGTGGATATATATGATTCTTCTTGCCTGAAGATGATGTAAACTGGAGACAGCCACAGATTTTAGGATCCTTGTGATTCAAATTATTGAGAAAGAGTGATGACCTACAGGGATTTAGCAACTCCCAAATGTCAAAAGATTGACAGAGCCAAGAGGCTTACAAAGGAGCCAGAACACAGTTTCCTAAATGGTCAGGTCCCTAGAGAGAGCAACAGTGAAGCTGTTAGAGCTGGCTGTGCTGCAGCAAATTCCAGGCCCTGAACCTGTGCTGGCTGCATTGCCCACTGCAACAAGAAGTTCCATTTTAGTTCATTGCATCCTTTTAAAACGTACCTCCATTTGATTACTACTGCTACTTCAGCTTGCCAGTGAAAGGGAGAAGTAATGCCTAAGTTGTAGCTTAGTAAAGTAACTAAATGAAGCTTTCTAGTGGCTGAAACGCCTCTTTAGGTCAGAGGAGATGAAGCAGTGCAATATCTTCTTTCAAGGCGGCCTGAAAGCACTATGTGCAATATTAAAATTTAATTCTATTTGACTTTGGTTTTTAAAACACCAAAAATACTAAACACGACCAGAGATTCAGTCCCATGTTTTTTCAGTCTTTGTCTGATTTGGAAGGCAAGGTAGTAGGCAGAAAAGAGGAAGGTGCCTGAGATACAAAAAGGTTATAGCCAAGCCACTCAGACTTGCTTGTAGAAGTGTTTGGGTTTTCTATATACAGCTCATCTGACTGTATATAGAAGAGGACTGCTGGTATTCCTCTGTGTGGCTACACCATGTATCATAACAAGGTATACAGGAACAGTGGGACCAACAGCTAATGCTGCCACAAAGCCCGATGAGGATCTTCATGGATGTTGACAGCCAGGGCCCATACTTCCTCCTCCTGCTGTGGAACATCATAGGACCTGCTGCAGTAATCGAGGCATTCACAGAGGCTATGTGTCCAGGTTCAGGAATATGCCCTCTCTCACATCTGCACAGGATCCAAAGAGCGCAGCTCGGTGAGGCATCTGTCCTGTGGACTCGAGCACTGTTGCAGCTGAGTGTAAGTGAACTGGAGGAGTTTTGTGCCGTCTGTGTTGAAGTATAGTCAAGATGCTTCTGCTGCATCTCAGCATCTGAGGCTAGGTTGAGGGGGTTACCTAGCAAAGGGGGTGGAATTTGTACAAGTGAGTATGGGCTAGGTGACACACTCACATGAGGTGCACAGGGAGGGAAGGATAAAGTTGTGCTTTTCAAACTGTTGTCAAGGAAACATGGGAGAGAAGGAAAGACTCTTGCATTACTGGAGTTAGACTGCTGATGCTGCTAAAGGACTGTGTGTGTATGCCTTTCTGAGTCACTGTGCTTCACTTTTCAAGCTGCTTGTTGCCTTGCAAAATCCACTATTTAAGCCTGCCCACAAAAAAAAAAAAAAAAAAGTGTGTTTGATTGTTATAGTGTGTTCTATTTCCCCTGGAAGTGAATCAGTCTCACTTGAACATCCCCTGTGCGGGACTGCTTACAGGCCAAAATGTATGTAGTAGAGTGGATCAGCTGGGCAGAGGGAGTGCAGAGCAGAAGGGTCATCTGCTGGGAACATTTGGATAACAGCAAATCATTTTTGGATCAGCAAATTTGGATCATCACATCTTGCTGTCGTGGAATTTACGTACAAAGCTCTACAACTGTGCAGCACTGACAACTAAAACTAGTTCTTTCCATTGGTTGCAAATGTGAGAATACAGAGAGAGAGAG